GGACAGTTTTTATGACTGACGTGAGGCAGAACCAAGCTTCTCAGAGCAGTTCCAGCTGCTTGTCCTCATCTCAAGAGGGGAGGAGACTGTCCCTCGGTCCTTCTGCTGGGTTCCTCACAGGCAGTGGAGGAGACATTCTTGTTCCATTTATCTCCTACAAAGAGGCATCAGAGCAGCCCAGCCATCTGTCCAGGGGACTGTCGGCCTCAGGATCTCCCTAGACTCTTACCTCAGGAGGCCCCGTCTTTTTTTTTTATTACGTTTATTTATTGTGTGTGTGTATGTGTGTGTGTGTGTGTGTGTGTTTGTGTGTGTGTGTGTGAGAGAGAGAGAGAGAGAGAGAGAGAGAGAGAGAGAGAGAGAGAATCTCAAGCAAGCTCCACACTGTCAGCACAGAGCCCAAGGCGGGGCTTGAACTCACAAACGGTGAGATAATGACCTGCACTGAAACGAAGAGTCAGACGCTTAACAGACTGAGCCACCCAGGTGCCCCAGGAGGTCCCTTTAGAACAGTTCTGACCCTCAACCCTCTCCTTGCCTGCTGGATTGATGTTGTACAAACCCAGGGCTGATCAAGGCTCCCTGAGCTCCAGAACTCTGGATGGCTCCTCACGCTCAGTGCCTTCTGTGACCGAGGCCCCACCTGACCCTTGGCTTGTCTCTCATGACACCCTCAATGCGCTAGACGGCTTATCTTCCCAAAGCCAACCCTAGAACTTCCCGCCCCTGTGCCTTTGCTGGCTCGGCGGTGTATCTCACCTGGATTGCTGCCACAGGAGGCATACAGGAGGGGCTGACAGTGCTCATCCCTCCCGGCACTGGGGATGTGGGCACAGCTGCCATTCAGTTGGCCAGACTGTTCAGAGCCATCTCCCTGATGACCATGAGCTCCAAGGGGAACATGGAGATGGCCTAGAGGCTGGGTGCCACAGCAGGGTTTGACTGATTATAAGGAGGACTTCTCTGAGAAGGGGCTGAAGGCCACGCAGGGTGCAGAGGTGCTTATTTCTGCAGGGGCCTGTGCTGTTAGAGGAAAGGCCAAACTGATCCCTACTCCCCAGCTCAACCCTTGACTCATGTCCTCCCTACTCTTCTTCCATAATCTTTTCCTCCTCTTTTCTCTCTTGTATTAGTTGCCTATTGTTGCATAACAAATTGTCCCAAAAATTAGGGGCTTAAAACAGCAAACATTTGGGGCGCCTGGGTGGCTCAGTCAGCTGGGCGTCCGACTTCGGCTCAGGTCATGATCTTGTGGTTAGTGGGTTCGGGCCCCACGTTGGGCTCTGTGCTGACAGCTAGCTCAGAGCCTGGAGCCTGCTTCGGATTCTGTGTCTCCCTCTCTCTCTCTGACCCTCCCCTGCTCACGCTGCCTCTCTCTCTCTCTTTCTCTCTTAGAAATAAATAAAACATTAAGAAATTAAAAAAAAAAAAGCAAACATTTGTTATCTCACAGTTTCTATGGGTCAGGAACCTGCAAGGAATTCAGCTGAGTCCTCCAGCTCAGAGTCTTAGGGTCTCAGAAAGCTGCAACCAAGGTGTCAGCCAGAGCTGGAGTCATCTCTAGGCTAGACTGAGGGGTGCTCTGCTTCCAGGCTCACCCCCGTGGCTGCTGGCAGGCCTCAGGGCTTTAAGTGGTAGCCAGAGATATCACTTTTGACAGAGGAGTTCTCCATAGGGCAGCTCAAAACATGGCTATCATTTGGTCTAGGGTAAGTGAGGCAGTTCTGCTGATGTCACCAGGGGTCATTCATTGGCTGTAGTAGGCTGGCACACCATCTAGGCCTACTTGGTCCAAGGGATCTCAATTGAAACAGCTTGTTTCTATTCCATGAAGTCTCATTCTCTGGTAGAGAACCTTCTTCACATGATGGCAATAAAGTTCTCAGTAGCAAGAGAGGGCAAGTTCAACATGTAAGCAGTTGCATTATTTCCTTGGCCAAGGCAAGTCACATGGTCAAACCCAAAGTCAGTGTGTGAGAGAAGTACATACAGTACTTTGGGATGTGGTTACAGAGAGATATAGTTCATTGAGACTATGAGTGTAGCATTCTACTTCAATTTTTTAAATTATATTTTATTAAAAAATTTTTTTAATGTTTTTTTATTTATTTCTGAGAGAGAGAGGGACAGCGTGAGCAGGGAAGGGTCAGAGAGAGAGAGGGAGACACAAAATCCGAAGCAGGCTCCAGGCTCTGAGCTAGCTGTCAGCACAGAGCCCGAAGCAGGGCTTGAACCTAAGAACGGTGAAATCATGACCTGAGCCAAAGTCAGATGCTCAACCAAGTATTTTAAATTTTTTTTAATTTAAAAAAATATTTTAAATTTTAAATGTTTCATTTCTTTCATATAGTTCTACATATAAAGTGCTTAAAGCTTCTTTTCCTTTTTTATTTTGTTCTCTACCTCCCATGGCAGCACTCTCTCCCAGATAATGCAAAATAATTTATATATAAAAATAACTCTCTATAAAAAGATTCTATAGGGGCGCCTGGGTGGCTTAGTCAGTTAAGCAGCCGACTTCGGCTCAGGTCATGATCTCACAGTTTGTGGGTTCGAGCCCTGCATCAGGCTCTGTTCTGACAGCTAGCTCGGAGCCTGGAGCCTGTCTTCGGATTCTGTGTCTCCCTCTATCTTTGACCCTCACCTACTCACACTGCCTCTTTCTCTCTCTCTCTCTCAGAAATAAATAAAACATTAAAAAAAAAGATTTATCTTTTCCCATGCCCATATAAGTATGTGAGTATAGCCATGTGTATGCATATAGGGACATTTGGCATTGTTTTATCAAAATGTCATTCTCATAAATGTTTCAGAGAAATCCCTCCATGTCAACTGCTATAGCTCTAAGGCATTTTTCTTTTTTTTTTTTTTTTTTTTTAAAGTATTTTTATTTATTTCTAGGAGAGAGAGAGACAGCGTGAACAGGGGAGGGTCAGAGAGAGAGGGAGTCACAGACTGAAACAGGCTCCAGGCTCCGAGCTGGCAGTCAGCACAGAGCCCGACGCGGGGCTCGAACCCACGAACCGTGAGATCATGACCTAAGCGAAAAGTCGGACGCCCAACCGACTAAGCCACCCAGGCGCCCCTCTAAGGCATTTTTCAAACGGATGCATGGTATTCATCATTTATCCAGCCATTCCCCTAGTAACGGGACTTATTTATTTCTACATTTTTGTCACTCTGATCAATACTGCAAGAAACATTTCTGTACATATGTTCTTACATATTGGCATTTCTTATTTCTATAGAAAAAACACTTCAGAAACAAGTACTATATTGCCATTGTTATCATTATCATCGTATTTTTTGACACCTGGTAATATAATTACTGTTTTTCATCTATTTCTTGGCCATTTGATATAGATGGCAAAAGGAGGGACAGTGGCTGATGGACATTTAAAATTTTTTTTCTAATTTTATTTTTTTTTGAGAGAGAGAGCATGAGCAGGAGAGCAGCAGAGATAGAGGGAGATAGAGGATCTGAAGTGGGCTCCCCTTTGACAGGGGAGACCCTGACATGGGGCTCAAATTCACAAACAGTGAGATCATGACCTGAGCCAAAGTCAGACGCCCAAACAACTGAGCCACCCAGGCATCCCTGATGGGCATTTTTGTAAAACAGAAAGCTTTATAAAATACATAATTTTGGGGTGGCTGGTGGCTCAGTCAGTTAAGCATCAGACTCTTGATCTCAGCTCAGGTCAAGTTCAAGCCCGTGTTGGGCTCCATACTGGGCATGAAGCCTACCAAAACACACACACACACACACACACACACACACACACACACACACACACCAACCCAATCTGAATAATCTTGCAAGAGGTGTACTCAGCAGAGGGATGTAAATAAAGATATAAAGGGGATTTTGCAATTGATAGGAGAGACATGTACAAGGCAGCTTGCTATAGTTAGAGCCCTGGACCAGGACCCAGAAGAGATGAATTTGATTTTTGGCTCTGACACTCACTAACTATGTGCCCCTTGAAATCAAATTAGTCTTTCTACATCTCAGTTCCTTTCTAGTAAAGTGTTATGAAGATCCAGTGAAGATGCATGTGAAGAGGAGGTAAATTATAAGGCACCACAAGATGTTACCTAACTTGTTTTTGAACAAGCACACACGTGCGTATCCTTCTAAACCAGTGCTTCTTAATGGGGGAGGGGGGAGCAATTTTGCCCCCAGAGGATATCTGGAAGCATTTTTTATTGTCATGACTGAATAGTGGGTGGAGACCAGGGATGCTGTTAAACATTGCACAATGCACAAGGCAGTCTTTCAAAAATAAAGAATTATCTAGTCCAGGGGCGCCTGGGTGGCTCAGTAGGTTAAGGGTCCGACTTGGGCTCAGGTCATGATCTCATGGAACTCAGGTTTCTGAGTTCCAGCCCTGCAAAAGGCTGTGTTTACAGCTCTGAGCCTGGAGCCTCTTTCAGATTCTGCGTCTCCCTCTCTCTCTCTGCCCCTCCCCCACTCGCATTCCGTCTCCCTCTCTCAAAATAAATAAACATTAAAAAAAAAATTATCTAGTCCAAATGTCAACAGTGCCAAATTTGAGAAACCTGATGTAGCCTATTCATACAGCTTTAACCAGTCAAAATTGCCTCCCTGGGCAGCACCTTCCAGGCTCCGCTCTCTTCATCCCCAGGAGGAAGAGCAGAAGAGGTAAGGATCTCAGGACGGCTTTTACCTTCCCCTTTCTCCAATTCTCTCAGCAGCACCCAGCTTGCCCAACCATACTCAAGATGCTGGCCCTACAGCGTCAGTGAGTTAAAAGCCTGGCATGGGTGGAAAATGGACCGATCGCCCTCCAAGAGTCTAGTTCCCTAAAGTTTTCTCTTCTCCAAAGGAGGCTAGAACAGCGTTTCCGGCCAACCAGAAGAAAGCCTAGTTTCCGAGGCTCAAGTGAATAATCTGATTCGCTATCACTAGCTTTGCAGCGGTAAAGAAGGAGAAGGAAGAGGAGGGTTGGTCCAGGTCAGTCCCACCCCTGGCGCTGTCCAGAGTCCAGCCTTCCTTCGCGGTCGCGGCCGAAGCAGTCCGGGATTCCGGGGTTCTTCTGCTCCAGGGACCCGAGCGAGCAGCGGAGAGCCCGGCCCCAGTAAGTGTCCAGGAACTCACACCCCGGCGGGGGAGCGGGGAGTTCCGACTCAGAGGGAGCGCAGCTTGCCTCGTGCTCTTCGTGTCTTCCCCCATCCGCTGCACCCTAGCCGAGACAGCGAGACCCTGTCCTAGCCTGCGTCCTCTGCAGGGGGTCCGTGTGCGGGCAGCTGGGACCTCGTGGGAAGGAGGGCGGGGCGCGGCGCGGGGCCGGACCACCTCGAGACCACTTTTAAAGGGAAACCGCTGGCCGGCAGGGGGCGCTGCAGCGTCGGCTTGGGCGCTGCGCTCTCCGAAGGATCCCGGGCTCCCTCCCTTGCTTCTGCAGTGTCCTCAGAGAACATGTTAGCTGTGCACTTTGACAAGCCGGGAGGACCCGAAAACCTTTACTTGAAGGAGGTGGCCAAGCCCAGCCCAGTAGAAGGTGAAGTCCTCCTGAAAGTGGCGGCCAGCGCCCTGAACCGGGCTGATTTACTCCAGGTACCCACGGGTCTGGGGGGAGCTTCCGGGTCTTCCAGATACATTCACCAGGCAGATAAAGGAATGACCTAAGCCACTGTCTGCAGAATGTGTGCTGGGAGTTCTAACACAAAGAACCATTTAGCCTCCTTTGTTTCGGAGTTCTAAGACAAGGAACCATTTAGCCTCCTTTGTCTACACCATATATAGGGATATTTGCAAAGCAGCATCTACCCTATGTTAATTCATAATCTGCTCGGGCTTCCAGATAAGGAGATGGGAACTACCATTTGTGGAGGGGTGTGTGTGTGTGTGTGTGTGTGCACGCGCGCGTGCTAGGCCTTGCTCTGTCTCATTTACTCCTCAGGCAACCCTATTTACCATTTGTATTATACAGATAAATTGAGAGTCAGAGAGGTTAGGCAATACTCACAAGGTCACACTAGTAATCAGGGCAGCAGTAATTCACACTGAGGTCTTGTGTGGCTCCAAAGTTCTGCATGCGTTCCTCTCTGAGGGTCCTGGAGCTGGCAGGGGGCTGTACTCTAGGAATCTTCTTGTTTCTGCTCTTTAAAGCACTAAATGGAGCCAGCTGCATTGATTGGGGTGATTGAGAAACATGAGCCAAAATCACGTGGGGCACTTTTCCAAAATAAACATTACTACAACCCAGGCATATGTATTTTGAAAAAGCTCTCCAAGGGGCACCTGGGTGGCTCAGTCGGTTAAGTGTCCGACTTAGGCTCGGGTCATGATCTCGCAGTTCAGGGGTTCAAGCCCCACATTGGGTTCTGTGCTGGCACCTCAGAGCCTGGAGCCTGTTTCAGATTCTGTGTCTCCCTTTCTCTCTGTCTCTCCCCCACTCATGCTCTGTCTCTCTCTGTCTCAAAAATAAATAAAAACTATAAAAAAGAAAAGAAAAAGCTCTTCAAATGGTTCTAGTTCAGTCTTAGTTCAGCCTGTCTAGCCTGAAACCTGTAGGCAGAGGCTTCTGAGGCTTGCAGCGAGTGAGTACAAAGTCTGGCACTTGACATATGATTGGACTAACTTAAGGAGTCTATGGTTTTGTTCCTTATCCTGCTACTGATTTACTTTGTGACCTTGGACAAGGCACACCTGTGCAGGTCTCAGTTTCTCTCTTTGTAAAACAAGGTGTTTAGATGAAGTAAACAGCTAAGGACCCAAACAGTTCTGACATCCACTGGTTATGTAACCCACAGGATCTGAATTACTTCTCCTGTCTCCTGTCCTGACTTAGCAAAACCTGACTTTATCCTGATTTTTCTGAGAAAAGAAGGGGCTAATGGAAGAAGGCCACGGATGGTGACACACACATTTCTGATCATGCTCACCACTTAGTGCACCCCTCTTTCTGCAGAGACAAGGCCAGTATCCCCCACCCCCAGGAGCCAGCAGCATTTTGGGACTGGAGGCATCTGGACACATAGCAGCGCTGGGGCCCGCCTGCCAGGGACACTGGAAGATTGGGGACCCAGCCATGGTTCTGCTGCCTGGCGGGGGACAGGCGCAATATGTCGCTGTCCCTGAAGGGCTCCTCATGCCCATCCCAGCAGGACTGACCCTGTCCCAGGCTGCAGCCATCCCAGAGGCCTGGCTTACCGCCTTCCAGCTGTTACATCTCTTGGGTGAGGAGCCCCCCCACCCCACCCCGCCCCCGCCAGGCTCATTCCATACAGTGTGGCTCAGTTACTTCATGACTCAGCCACCTCAAAAGCCAGCAGCCCTCAGAGGCAGCTTTGGCCTGGCCACCGAGTCACACCCAATCCCAGCACCGCACCCAAATGTGCTGCCAGTAGAATCAGGTCCTCATATCATGTTAGCAATGGCCTAATGTCCAGGCTGACAATCATGGTTAGCAGGTGGAGCCTGGAAAGCACTGGATAGAAGGTCTTGGTACATCTTCACCCTGTAGGCCCACCGGTAGTCCCAGCTGCTCAGAGCCCTGCCGAGCTTCTCTCTGTGAGCCTAATGTGGCAGAAGGGGCCATTCAATCAACTTTCATTCCTCCCCAATCCCACTGATGGGTGGGAGCCTAAGAAGACTTGGTCCCTGCCATCAGGGAGCTCAGTGAAACTGGGAAGACCAGGCATGCACGTAGAACCATAGAGTTCAGAAGGTGGCCCTGTCTCTAACTACTATAGAAATTCCAGATGGGAACAGTTAGTGTGGGTAAGTGTGGCCAGAGAGGGCTTTCTGGAAGAGAAGGACTTGAAGGGTGAGTAAAGTTGAGATGGACAGAAGGCAGGACAAGGTGGCTTAAGAAAGTGTCAAGGTGAAATCGGCTGCTCTACTCAGAGTGAAGCACAATGATTATCATCTGTGACAGATGAGACTCGGACTGGGTTGTCGTGGCCTTGAGTGGCACATTGTCTGCACTGGATGCAAAAGCCAACTGAGAACCACTTTACATTTTGAGGAGAAAGTGACATAACGAAGGCTCCATTTCAGGAAGAGAAGCCTGGGGTTGTCCATGGTGCCTGGATCACTGAGACCAGATGGAAGCCAGTTTCAGACTAAAGAGGGACTGGCTTCAGGTGATGACAGTGGGAGTGGCGGTTACTTCTTATTAAGGTATATATATATATCAGAGATGTGTATCTCAGTATTATTCCTTCATAAGTAATAAAAATAAGATTATGGATGTGGCTGCTAACAGCTGTTTCAAAAGGTTGTTTCCCACTTTGACAAGAGGCAGGAAAACAAAAAAAAAAATTGTCAAAAACTTTGAAGAGAGCAAGAGATTTGGCACTTGGTGGTCCAGGGCCAGGCGCACGTGGTAGCATGTGCCTGCGTGGGGAATGCGTAACACTTGCAAAGTAAAGAGAATGGTTCCTGTACTTTGTGTCACAGGAAATGTTCAGGCTGGAGACTCTGTGCTAATCCATGCAGGATCAAGTGGTGTGGGCACGGCCGCCATCCAACTCGCCCGGCTGGCTGGAGCTATTCCTCTAGTCACAGCTGGCTCCCAGCACAAACTTCAGATGGCAGAGAAGCTGGGAGCAGCTGCTGGATTCAATTACAGAGAAGAGGATTTTTCTGAAGCGACACTGAAATTCACCAAAGGTAAACAATAGCTTCTGCTGCCCAACAGGAATTTCAGAGATGATTAAACAAAATCCTCACCAGCCTGAAGGTTGCCAGTGCTCTGGATCTGTCTGGCCTCTGCTAAATGCACAACAGCTGCCCTGGCCAATTTCCAGTACTCTGGTGTTTGACCTGTGGAAACAGGCAGACAGTATTTAGGACTAAAATGTTTCTGTGTGCATTCTAGTAAGTGATATGATTCCTACTCATTTAAAAAAATTTTTAATGTTTTATTCATTTCTGAAAGAGAGAGAGAGAGGAGAGAGAGAGAGACAGCGTGAGCAGGGGAGGGTCAGAGAGAGATGGAGATACAGAATCTGAAGCAGGCTCCAGGCTCTGAGCTAGCTGTCAGCACAGAGCCTGACACTGGGCTCGAACCCATGAATCGTGAGATCATGACCTGAGCCGAAGTCGGCTTAACCGACTGAGCCACCCAGGTGCCCCTGATTCCTACTTATTTTAGAAACTGGATAAATCCAAGAGTTGGCCTGGAATTATCCAGGACCTCTTCTTCCAAGTCTCTCTGCAATCAGTTAACAGGAGCGTAGAGCAGAGACCAGTTGAGCGCTGGTCATAGTCGGGGTAGGATGGTAGCTCCCCAAATGGGTAAGCCTCTGTATCCAAAAGCCAAATCTGTATATTTTTGGGTCATCCTTTTCCATTTTGTTACATGAGTAGGAAAGGAGAGATGAAACCAAAGCTAGTAAAATGATTCAGACAATCCATTGCAGACACTTCATAATTTAGTTGTGAACTAGCCTGCCTTGTAGACTGGGTGGATCTCCCCTGTTCTGTTCTCATTCATGCTTGGGTGCAAGTGGGTTCTATACTTACATGGGGAACAAAGGAGATACCAGAGCATGGTGTTACCCCATTTCCCTCTGGCTGTGGCTAGGAATCATAAAAGATGAACTATAGCACAAATGTATGATTGAGTTCAGCTATCTAAATCTATTTACAGCAATGTTTCTAGTTCTAACCGATACATTGTACACATGTACTTATACCATGTATTCACAAATACACCACGGAATCTTACTTTGCACAAAGCTTTCTTTGACTAGTGTTACAAATCTGTGTTTCACGTGAAAGGTGCTGGAGTCAACCTTATTCTAGACTGCATAGGTGGATCCTACTGGGAGAAAAATGTCAACTGCCTGGCTCTTGACGGTCGCTGGGTTCTCTATGGTCTAATGGGAGGAGCTGACATCAACGGACCCCTATTTTCAAAGCTACTTTATAAACGAGGAAGTCTGATCACCACTCTGCTGAGATCAAGGGACAAAAAGGTGAATGATGAATGAAAAGAAAACATGATTTAATTATTGCCCCAGAAAGTATGATTTGTTTACATAACTCCAAAAAAGTTAGATCTGACACCTCTTCTGTTAGAGAGCCCATGTAGAAACCTGCCCGCTGTGGATGAACCATTTTCACAGAACTAATTAAAATTGGTCAGTAGAAGTCTCAACGTCTTGGAAAGAAGGTAGCTAATACTTCACATATCATTTAATCTTTGTAACAGAATGAATGAAGCATTAACAATATTAGCAAACACTTCTAATAGTTCCAAAATGATGTCTTCAAGGCAGAACTTCTCAGTATGATAAAGCCACTTAGGTAAGTAAGGCTAGTTAAGGCTGGACTTTCAACAGATTATGTATTACTGAAATCTCCTCTGTGTGGCCTGCTAGCAGGTGCCAGACTTGGGGATGTTTCCCAGCCTAGGGTTTCACACCTGTGGGACAGCAGAGCTTAAACATCCCTTTTGAACTGAGCCTACAGTCCTGTCTGTGGCCCAACTCCTGCTTTAAGCCTTTAAGCACAGTACTGTTGTCTGTGCCACTAATATTTTAGTCCAGGATTCAGTCTTTATCTGCTACAGAAGAGAGATTATACATTTGGGGGCACGCACATACATGCTGGTAGTAAAGGAGTTAGGTGCTCCTGTGTGCATTTTCAGAGGTGTACACGTTTCAGGGAGCACAAAGGCTAGTAAATAAGCAGCATGGGGAGTAGCAAGGTAAAGCCTCTGTCTAGACTGATGGTCTCCTTTTCCTTCTCTTAAGTACAAGCAAAGGCTGGTGGAGACTTTCACAAAACAGATTCTGCCCCACTTTTCCACGGAGAGCCCACAACGTCTACTGCCGGTTTTGGACAGAGTCTACCCGATGACTGCAATCCAAGAGGCCCACGCATACATGGAGAGCAACAAGAACGTGGGCAAAATCGTCCTGGAACTGCCGCGATGAAGGAGGCGGCGGCAGGACGCGGGCCTTCCCAGGACAAACTTGGACAAAGTCCACAGTACGCAGGAAGGAGATCGGGTGCTACTCCAGGCCGCCCTGTAACCATTGCTCCCTTCTCCCGGCCTCGGTCAATTGACCCGTGTAAAGCTGATCCAGGGAAATAAAAAGAGTAGATCTAAAGGGCGGCCATCTCACTGTGGCGGCCCCGGATCGCGGACTGAGGCCGCCGGGGAGGTGGGGGTCGGGACTGACCGTGCCGCAGGCATTACAGGAAAGGCCCCAACAGTGAGTGCTCAACTCCAGGGTCTGGGGTTCTGGATGCGGGGACAGCGTCGACCACAACATAACCTGCCACAACCCCGTAAGCCCAGCTTTGCGCGGGAGGAGGCCGGGGCCCACCCACCAGCACCCCCGGCGCGCCCCGCAGAAGCCCGTCCCACGTCAGGCCCCGCCCCCTCCCGCAACTCACCGGGCTCAGCCCCGCCTCGTCCCGCTCTCCTAGGTCCCGCCCCCTCAGGCCAGCTTCCTTTGCTCAGGGCCGCCGGGACCGGAACACCGCCCCTACTGAACCCCAGGCCCCGCCCTTTCCGGTGCGCGGCTCGGCCGCGACTTGAATCCTTGCCTTTCAACTCGCTGCCCCGCCTCTTTTTCATCTCAAGCTCGGTTTGCCCCACAGTCTTTTCGAAAGGGGATATTACGTCAGCACGTCTCGACTTGAGACGGCGATATTCCGGCGTGTTATAGAGCTTCCGGTGGAGACTGAATGTTGCTGTCGTGCGTTTGACGCTGTGTCGGAGGTCTTGTGGACGAGATCCGGACGTGTCCGGAGGAATTCCAGAGTCTGCTGCGGTAACCTTATCAGCCCGCCAAGATGGCGATGCAAGCGGCCAAGAGGGCGAACGTGAGTACTGGGGCCTTCTGCCGAAGAGGGGCAGGATTTTGCTGTTGGGATTTTCTCAACGGCGTGGCACCGTGCCCTTCCTTGGTCCCCAGGCCAGGGGAGCCTACAATTTACTGTTTTATCACTGGGGGTTCTACCTTAGCCCCATCCTTGAGGAGCATATCCGCGTCCACCCCTTTTGAGAGTTCCCTCGGTCTTATTCTGGTGTCAGCGATAGCGTTAACCCTGCAGCCTTTGTGGCTTGATCTGCACCTAGGACCTGACGACACAATCTTCTCCACCCAAAAGTCAAAAGCACAGACGAGTCTCCAGTAAATAACCTAGTAGCTCACAGGCAACCAGAGCCTGGGACTCTCCTCAAGTCGTGGAGCTTTTTGGATCCTTCATTGTTTGAACTCAGTATTTTCGAGCACCTACTGTATACCAAGAATGCGAGAGAAGGAACAATTGAGAAGTTGTATTTATTGAATACCTACTTTGTGCTTGACACTAGTCTACACGTTGTAGACACAACAGTGAATAAAAAAAGCCCTTCTGTTTACATACTAATGTTAAAGAATAGGGTGTTATATGGAAGGCTAAGAAAAATTGTCTCAATAGGAGAGGGTAGGTCAGCCGTAAGGCTGAGAGACACAGTGTGATGCAGACAGATAATTAGATACGATGAGATGCAGAATTTTGGTAACCTTGATGATCATCTTAGCGGATGAAAACTTGGTTGCAATGGGATGAAATAAGGATGAAAGTTAAGAAAATGGAGACCGCGCTTTCCACAAGTTTTCACGTAAATAGGAAGCAGAGAGATTGGATGATAGGTGATGTTTTTTTCTCTTCTAAGATGTGTGATATGAGTTGTATTTGCGTGCCTGTGAGAATGGTGCGGGAGTGTGGGGGGAACTGATGATGTGGGAGAAAAACGGGGTAAGTTCAGGAGTTAAGGTTTTGAATAGATGAAAGTTGGCATAATAATGAGAGGGAGAGGGGTGGATATGGGTGAATTTAGATTGATGGGTTTAGTGATATGAATATAAGGTTCTTACCGTTTAGTCATGTATTTTTTCAGTAAGGAAGAGCCAAGATCATCTCCTGGGATGGGCAGGGAAGAGCCCAACTCAGATGTTAGAGGGAGTGATGATGGTGATAAGGCTTGAGGAGAAAAGAGAAAGTGTGATACAGTATCTTACAGAGTGAGAAAGCAGATGTACTAGCTAAGTGTATTATAATTGGCAGTGCTGACTGTTTGTTTGAAGGCAGTCTTGAATTTTAAGTCTAAAACTTTATTATACCATTTGTCACCACTATTAGATTGAGGGCAAGGAAGAAGTATTCTCTTCTTCCTTTTTTTTTTAAGGTTCTTTATTTTGAGAGAGAGAGAACATCATCAGGAGAGGGGCAGAGAGAGGTGACATAGGATCCAAAGCAGGCTCTGTGCTGACAGCAGAGAGCCTGATGTGAGGCTTGAACTCAATGAACCTTGAGATCATGACCTAAGCCAAAGTTGGCTGCTTAACCACTGAGCCACCCAGGTGCTCTTCCTCTTTTTCTTTTTATACAACACTTAGCTTAATGTCTGAAATAGCTGCCAGCTTAATAGTCATTAATATCCAATGTGTAATTGAATATGTAATAACACAGGAGTGAAGTCTGGATGGGAGATTTATATTTGAGAGTCATCCACTTACTGTGGAAACCCATGTGTTGTGGTTAAGAGACCAAAGAGAGTGTAGAGTTAAGGAGAGCATACAAGGGATCAAGAGAAGAAGTCTAGGGGCACCTGGGTGGCTCAGTTGGTTAAGTGTTTGACTCTTGATTTTAGCTCAGGTCATGATCTCATGGTTCAGGGCCTCTACACTGACAGTGTGAGCCCGCTTGCAATTCTCTCTCTCCCTTTCTCTCTCTCTGCCACTCCCCCCCACCCCCCATAAATAAATAAACTTAAAAAAAAAAGAAAAGTCTAAAAGTAAAATTCTGTGGAAGAGCATATTTTCATGACAAAGAAGAGTGAGAACTGGCCAGACGGGGAACCCAAGGAAATAGTGTGTCAAGCAAGAGTAGTCAAGAAAGTAATAGCAGTGTCAGAAGCGTCAGAGAAATTAAGTGTGATGAGAACTGAACATTGCAGTAAAAAGGTCTTAGCGCATAAGAGCATTTTCGTCAGAGTGCTGGGGTGGAAGCTAGCTTGTAGTACGTTGATGAGAATCAGTGAAGAAAAGAATGTGAAGTAGTGAGTATAGACTTTATCTTCCCAGATGCTTGACTGAGAGGGGCAAAACCCAAAATAGAATAATAAGTAGAGCTAATAAGTTCAGGGAACCAGAAACCTTGTCTTTTTTCCTTCACGGAAAATATAATCCTAATACCCAGTCTGGTATATACATAAAGGAGATGCTCAGTAGATATTTGTTGAATGAACACAGAGGGATCCAAATAAGTATTTAGTTTTGCATGACAGTTGGCAGGACATAAGCATCTGCTCACTTGAGGAATAGAAGAAGGTCATGGTGAGGGAAAGACTAAATTCAGGAGAGAGAAGATATCATTGATATAACAGGTTCTTAGAGAGACCAGGTAAGAGGGGTTAGTGGGAGTTTTATGGTCTAAGAAACAGGAAGAGTTCCCTTCATTCTTTCCCATTTGTGTCTAAGGCATTGAGCCTACGTACTGTCCTCCCTAAAACAGGTGCCCAGTTGCTATTCTGACAAGCATGCTATTTTCAGGAATATCGATTGTCATTCTTATTTTTTTAATGCTGCTTATTCTTGACTATTCTGGTTTTTGTTGGTGGTGTTTTTTCTGTGAGAATTTATAATTATGAGAAATTTATTTGAGGTGGTTGCGCTCCTGCCCCTGATTATAATAGCACATATTTCTCATTTTAGATTCGACTTCCACCTGAAGTAAACCGGATTTTATATATAAGAAATTTGCCATACAAAATCACAGCTGAAGAAATGTATGATATATTTGGAAAATATGGACCTATTCGTCAGATTCGCGTGTGAGTCTTACTGAGACTTTTGAAATGTGATTTCAAGAAAATGATTGTATAATCTCAGAATTATAGCTGACAGCAGGGCCTAACCAAGAGCCTAGAGACAAAACAGATTGAAATATGGGAAAAGAGATCTTTCTTTCTTTTTTTTTTTTTTTTTTTGTACGGAAAAAAAATCCTGATCCAGCTCAGTGAGCGCCAAGGATAGTAGTGAAATTAGAGAAGGCTTGAAGTAGTAATGAAGGGTTTCAGGGCAATGGGTGGGAAAAGAAAGAACTAACATTTTATTGCATAACTGTTATTTATGAAGTCAGATACAACACTGGGGTTTTTTGTTTGTTTTAATGTTCATTAACTCTAAGTTGTTTTGGGTCTCCTTCACTCAATTTCTGAATAAACTGAGTAAGGAGGTATATAGGTAACTGAGAAAAATGATTTCTTTTCCAACTACGGCTCTCTTTTTTCTTTTCCCAACTATAACTTTCTATTGAAGTTTATTGATTTTTTATTTTTATTAAAGATTTAACAGGGGAGAATAACTGCAACATGAATTTGTATTTTAATCTAAAAATTGGGGTTTATATCTTCAAATGATACTTATTGAACATCTACAAAATGCCATTTATTGTAATAGGTGCTTTTATTTGTGTGACTAATATTACAGGCCTGTGTGGAGTCAAGATTCTGTTTTACATGTGAAACTGCTGAGGCCCACAGAGCACAAGCACCTTTCTAGAGTCACACAGCTGTTTAGTGATAAAATCTGATTCTAAACTGAATGTTTACATCACCCAGATCTGTAACCACTGACGCTCTAATTAGTGTAAAGGGGCTGTTTACCTAAGAGTCCATCTAGAAGGATTTTTTCCTTAAGTTTATTTATGTTTTTTTTAGTAATCTCTACACCCAGCATTGAGGCTTGAAATCGTGATCGTTAAATCAGGAGACTCACGCTCCTCCCGACTGAGCCAGCCAGGCACCCCTGACTATCTCTTCTTAAAAATTTTCCTTAATGACCTGAGAACAACTTCTTGGCTTTTAAAACTCTGAGAATTTTTTTAAGAACACTGTGAGATCTTGAGGACTCTCCTTTGAAATGATCACTGCCCCTCCAGAAAGTAAACCAAGTGCTAGCAATACATCATCATTCGTACTCAAGTAGTGATAGAAATGAAGTGTTACAGACTAGCCACTCTCTTTAGGAAGTCTCAGTCTTCTGGGTTTTTGATAAAAGCTTTGGACCCTTTCCACAGAAGAATACAACATTTTGCATATGATTTCAGGGGGTACGTGAAACCTAGGTCCTGTCCTAGACATGTTAAGAATGGTACACAGAAGATCCCCGGACTTGGAAATCAGGAAACAGGACTCTGCCTCAGGCCCTGTTATCCTAGACAAGTTGTCCCAGTTTTTGGTTCTCTGTACCCTCACATGTAATCTAGAGGGACGGTACCTTTCAGCTTTTAACATTGAGGCAGCACAATAAACTTAACTGAATTGGTCATGAGACCTAAGTT